CTTCAGACCTTGACCTAGAAAGGGATGTTTTACCCTGTGTGCTAAGGTCTAAAGGTGCCCTCATAAGGTAAATGAAAAACTTCTTTCAGATAGTGGGCAAATGAAGTGAATGTGTGCCATCAGCAGTGGAGAGAAAAAGATGCCACCTCTTTGTAAATGGCATATTCAGCCTTGAAGTAAAATAGTACAGGGCTTAAGAGAAATCTAAGCAGATTAAAAAATGTTCTAGGTTTAAAAATTCCCATGCTCCTGTGACCCATTACATTTTCTGTGGTTACTGTGTCTGGCCTTGGAGAGAATTACTCCAAATGCTGATGTAAAACACTTGCTTTTAGTAAATTTCTGCTTCAGGATGAACAGTGATTTCAACCATGTAATTCCAAAAAATGCTTTGTAGAGTAAATTAAAAGCAACGGCTTCCAAAGGATCAGCAAGTGTGATCACAGAAGACATGCTAAAAGGCCAGGACGTTTTGGCAACAGACACGGGACAGCCTGTTCAGCCTGAAGACACACCTGGTGCTGCTGGAGCAGAGCAAATGGAGAAGGAAGATGACCTCCTGCAACAGGCAGATGATCTCTCTTTCAGTCTGGATGAACTAAATGTCTCATCACCTGACTCCTCCACTGTTTCTCCAAATCAAGACTATAATTTAGTAAATTCTCTACTAAACCTCACTAAAAGTCCCGTGAGTTGCTTTTTTTTTGTTGTTGTTCTAATTAATGAGATTAAATGAAATAGTTTGGATACTGTGTGAAGCAGGCAGAGAGAGTGAATATGCACACATATCCACACTGTATTTTTAATTATAAAAAGTAAACCAAGGTTTGTTTTGCAGGCAGTTTTTGTAAACTGGCAATTTTCTTTGCCAATTCAGATTAAAGGAAAAGTATTATTTTAGAAAATTAATATTGTTTATTGATGGTAATTTTTTTTAGCAGTTTGTATAGGATGCTGCATGTTTCACAGACAAGCTATATAGGATAATCCTTAGGTTAAACATACCACAGGAGAGGATTTTTAAAACTTCTCTGTTATACTGACTTAACCAAACCCATTTTTTTTTTGTAAAGACACTGGCCTCTCTCTGGAGGTTTGTTTTCTTTTAAAAAGAACTACTAAATGTCTTACCCAGCTCCATCCTTCATACTCAGATTCTTTCAGAAAATTTGGAGGAAGGTTGGATAAGCCTATAATTGCTGCAGCAGTGTTGTAAGCAGAAAACTGAATCTGCTGATGTACCTCGTTATTGTTCAGTGATAGGTTACGTTGTCTAATGGCTTGGTCTTAAGCTGACTGACTGCACTAGTTCTGTCAGCCTGAAGGCTGCAGTTGCATTCTTAGTATTTGACACTGATTCAGGAGAGTTTCTTTACTTTGTACCATCCAAATTCACTAGAATTAGGTTTTAATGCCTGAAAAGGCAACGAAAATAAATGCATTCACTCACTGTGGGGGAATGGAGAGGTTTTATTTGGGAGGTGTTTGCTTCTTGATTTCAAGTGAGCTTCATTCACCCTCTGATTAATTCTTCCATGCCCTTCTGCCAGGACGGCCGGATAGCAGTGAAGGCCTGTGAAGGCCTCATGCTTTTGGTGAGTTTGCCAGAACCAGCAGCTGCCAAGTGCCTGACTCAAAGCACTTGTTTATGTGAATTGTTGACAGACAGGCTGGCCACCCTCTACAAAGCCCTGCCTCAGTCACTGGATCCCTTAGACATTGAAACAGTGGAGGCAATTAACTGGGGGTAAGAATTTTAATTTTGTATTTAATACCCAAGGTGACTTTACACCCCTCCCTGAAACTAATTTTCTGTAGGTAGGTAGGCTGTGTAAAATGCTCACCCCCATGCCAGGGCCTGGAGAGCAGAGCAGAGCTGCGACACCCGCTGCGGCACAGCAGGACGGCTTCGGGCATCCGTGTGCCTGTGGTGTCTGACATGGGGCCAGCTGTGGTCGCCAGTCCCTTGCAGAGATTCCTTAGGTGGCAAGTTCTTCCACTGAATTATGTTAGCAGTTTGTGGTGATGTAGCTGTAGTGTCAGGTTCAGATTATTTTCTTGTTCAGATGTCAAGGATTTAGGAGACATAAACTTTTCATTATGCACAGTGAGCACTGTAAGCTGCTGCTGGGGGCTGGAAGGGTGCCTTTGGTGACAGGCTGCTGTTGCAAAATTTTTGCAGTAAAAAAGAAGAAGGAAAGAGTTACTGCATAACTCATCAGCATGAAGCAAAATATACATGCCTGTTATTCTAACTGCTTGCATGTTAGACCCTCAAAACATTTCTCTTCCCAACTTTGCTTTAATTGTTATGAATTACTTGTGATCTGTTAGTACTGAGACAAAAAACAGGTATTTGCAGAATATCTAACAAAATTTCTGGTGGTTGGATTGTAACTGTGAAGTTAAAAGGGAAAAAACAACTTTGTATAGTGGGATAAATAATTATTGACTGCCTTACCAGAGAAAATGGTGAATTTGTTATTCCTTAGAGCCTTTAAATAGAGATATGTGGTTTTTCTCTGAAAGATACAATCTAGTTCAGATGTACAATGTGTGGTTTTGGTGGACTTGACTGAGGTAATTTACAGAGTAGAGAAGAACAATTGCCTTCATTTTATGGTTCTCTGACTACAGGAGTTATTGATTCAGCTTCTGTGGTCTGTGTTTCCTGGGAGAACAGACTAGGTGATCAGTTTTCCCTTCTGACTCAAGAAATACTTAACCAAACAGAGTTTTTCTGCTGTACATACTGTGTATCCTGTAGCATGCCCCTGAAAACCTCTGTAATGATAGCACTGCCAGATGAGTCGAGTCCAGCAGAAAAGCTGCTTTAATGTTCACTTCATTGCAATTAGATCATTTATTGTTCCGTTAAGTTTAAAAAGAATAATGTCCAAGATTCTTCACTTACTTGCAGACTAAATAAGTACTTTTTCCTGTGTTCTCTAGTTTGGATTCCTATAGCCACAAAGAAGATGCGTCTGCTTTTCCAGGGAAAAGAGCATTAATTTCGTTTCTTTCATGGTTTGACTACTGTGATCAACTCATCAAAGAAGCACAAAAGGTTCGAAATGTTTACAGATGAGACAAACATTCAGAAAAGTAGTTCTTGTTGTTTCTTAGCTTTTGAGTTTGAGACGTACCATTTTGTATTTTCGTTTCAGACTACTGCTGTTGCTATGGCAAAAGCTGTGCGGGAGCGATTTTTCATTGATGTTATGGAACCCCAGCTGATGCAAACGTGAGTAGCATCCAATAAAACACAGCAGAACAGAACCTGAATCAAGCTGATCCTTTCAGCTGAAACCCACTATGGATCTGACACTAAATATTTTCTTCAGTTCAGAGATTGGAATCCTCACATCAACTGCACTATTGCATCGCATTGTTCGTCAAGTTACTTCAGATGTCCTGCTGCAGGAAATGGTTTATTTTATACTTGGAGAACACAGAGAGCCAGAAACTTTGGCAGACATCAACAGACATCCATTGCGACACAGGTTAATCGAACACTGTGATCATATTTCTGATGAGGTGAGAAGGGTCAATGATACAATAATGTCTGCTGGCATGTTCTGTCTCATGCAGAGTCTGTAAAAACGCCGTTGTCAGGGTTTGAGGTTTGTTTTGTCAGCTAACTTTTTTTCCCAAGGAAGAGTTCTGACTGCCAGCCCTACAAATTCTCTTTAGAAAGTGAAAGTCAAGCTGTTTGCTCCAGTTAGCATATTGTTCCCATTAATAAAGATTCTTCGCTAAATTTGCTTGCCCCCTATACATATCTAGTAGGCTTGCTCATCTGTAAGAAAGGCCAAAATCACTCTCTGTAATTGCATTTTAATTAATGTTTTATTATGTTGCACTGCTGTTCTTTTCCATATTCTGTCATGTTATCTTATAAGGTATAGTTTAAAACTTACTATTTTTTATATAGAGTAAGTGTGATCAGAAAATCTGCACATGATAATTAACAGAAGATATAATAAGTCTAAGTACTTTACACACAGGAAACATTTTAAAAAGAATTTATTTCTGTAAAATCGCTCCTCCAGAGCAGCTTGTTTCTTTTTTTTCCCCATGAAACAACACCCTATACTACTTCAAGTAAAAACCAAGCTTGCCTGAAGTACAGGTCTATGCCTTCACATACCCATTTTTTTCAGTATGCTTACCTGCTCACCCTGTCAGTTATCTGTATGTATCAGTTGATCTTTGAAAACCTAAGTGCTCTAAAGCTGTCTTTAGAATCTGTCTCTGTATTGCTTAAAGTCAGTCTCCCTTTAAAACCCTACAAAATATCTCCATGTAGGAATCTTAGATTATAGTACTAGTCACACTATTCCAGTGTTATTTTGGTTTAGTCTGGGAATTTATTACTAACTTTAAGTCCTGCTCTGTGTCTCATCTGCACAAAGATAACCATCTTCCAGCATGGATCTGATTGTAGTATGAAAAGCTAAGCTGGAAGGTCTCTGAATGATCTTTGTATTATTATATTGGCAGATTTTAGGACAGTTTTTGTTTTACAGGAAAAAAATACATCCATATATTGATTTTCAAATGTGTGTGAATTTTTCATCCATGTTTATACTACACTCAGCATAACAATTTCCTAATTTTTCTTAGGATTTTTTGCTTCCTTCTGTAATGTAAATAAGTAACTCAAATGTTCTTGGGTGTACAAATTGGATATAAAGGGCACAAAGTGGTGCGTCAGTTCACTGAATTTTTACTTTTTTGTGTTGCAGATCAGCATAATGACTTTACGAATGTTTGAGCACCTTTTGCAAAAACCCAATGAGCACATTCTTTATAATTTGGTTCTGAGAAATTTAGAAGAAAGGAACTATATGGAATACAAGCCTCTCTGTCAAGAAGATAAAGATGTGGTAGAGAACGGACAGATTGCAGGAGCAATGTAAGTTTCTTTTATAAGGGAAGTTTTCATAACAGCTAACATGGATCCTTATTGTTAGAATAAAACTTTTTTTTCCCTGTAATCAAAAGAAATGTGAGCATAAATAACACTTTGAATGCTCTATGCATTAATCCATATCCATAAAGTCATGCAGAAATTATTATATTGCTTTCCATTGGATAATTCTTGAAGTCATTCACTTAGGTGACTTGCTTACATTTATGTTTTTGAATCGTTTTTTGATGGCAGAAATTTTCTGCAAGACTTTACAAAAAAATCCTTTTCAGTATCTGACATAACTCTTGTAACTCCTTTTTTTAATAATGGAAGGGTAGGCACTAGTCACACCAGCTATTTTAGGCATCTTAATTTAGATATTTCTGAGTCATCTAAAATAATGTAATGATTTCCAGGAGTATAACTCTCTTTCATGTAAAAAATATGGCTGCAGAGTGTAAGTGATCTAATACTGTGATTTTGGGCAAGTCAGAAATATTTACTGTATTGTTGAGATCAAGAAGTAATGTTTTTTCTTCAAAACAAAGTTTGTTGTGTATTTGTAAAGGTTGGTATTTCTACTTACTAATTAGGTTAAAAGTTGTGCATATCATAGCGTTCGGGAAAACAGCCTAGTTGTTCAGAGCAGAGGAACTGAGTGCATGCCTTTTGACCCACAGATTTGCCTTCCATAGCACTCTGTGAATAATTACGTTTTTGTCTAATATAACCTCACAGAGACCTAGAGGAAGATCCATTATTTACTGACCTGTCTCCAGATAACACATTCTCAACTCAGGAGTGGCTCAGTGCTTCTCCACCTGTCAGTCCAGAACATCAGAAAAATGATGGGAAGACTGAAGTTCATAAAATTGTAAATAGGTAAGTTGAAACAAACACTTAAAGAAATCTCTGATTGTGTGGGTGTCTGCACACACTGTACAAATTAAATGTACTCTGTAATGGATGCTGTTCTGTGCCAGCTGGTAAAATGACTCCACAGAAGGAAATTGTGGCATTTTATCAGAAAGCTAATCATGAAAGATGAGAGCTTACAATAAGTAAAAATAATTCAACATGAATGAGGAAAGTAGAAGAACTTTGCAGCTAATAATAACTATTAGCTGTTCATGATGAACAGAGTTCATGATGAAAGCCTCAATGATTTTCATCAATGATACTCAAAAGTATTTGCTGTACTTAAACTGCTGTTACAGGACTTGAACTTCCTGGAGAAGTCTTGGAGTCTTGCCATAAATGTTTTACCCCTCAAAATTCCTTAAACACAAACTCCTCTAGTTCCTTAAACACATATCTAAAGGTACATAATTGCCACGCTAGAGATAACAGTCTGTTCCCTGAAAATCAAGGGACACCTCTGTCACCTGTAAGATACCTTTGTGCATGTTGGACATACTGCGAATTGGATATCACAAAGAGGACAGGCTCTGCTTTAAGCAACTTAGTGATGGTAATTCTCTTAGCAACTAGTATTAGGACAAACGCTGTTTGCTCTGTTAATACGCAGCAGCAAAGCAGTGCTGGCATTTCAGTGCTGTGACCTATCTGCTTACCCAGAAATAATCAAAGGTGTTAGCCAAAGGAAGCAAGCAGCCCAAGGACAGTCAACACAGAGTGGCATAGTCACTTCTTGCCCTCTTTCCCCCAGTACTGCTATTTATGGTGGACATGGTTTGGAGCAAAGACACAAAGAACACTCTCCTAAATTCACCTCGTGTAGAGCGATTAGAAGTGGTTTCAGAATTTGCAGTGTTTTGCAAATGTGTATTTTTTCAGATAAGACAAACTTCATACAAAAAGTCAACTACTATGTATCTCTGCATATAAATCATACAGGAGCCTCCAGGAGTTCTTGGGATGTGGAGAAAGCTGAAATTTGGAAACAAGGCCCAGATACTGAGTTTTATTTTGCTATCGAGAAATTTTAGGGGTTTTAATTTTTAAAGACAGTTCCTCTCTAATAAGAGTCAGAATTTCCCGACGCTTTTTAGGTCAGGTATTGATGAAGTAATAACATACAGTATTTGCACTGCATACCTGGGCAAATGCAATGATACTTGTAACTGTGGACATTTATATGCAAATATGCCTGTATCTTCCTAGATGTTCACTCTTAATCACAACAAACTATAGTAAATAAAACTGCCTATGCACTAGGTTAAGAAGAATTTTAAATGTAATTCTTCTTCCCTTTTGGCTCATTTATTCCCCAGTGCACTTTCCATATGCTCTAGTAAGATGGAGTCCAACCTTTAGCAAATGTTCAGACGTGGTAATGAATATTCTTTTTCATCTCCTTTCTGTCTGCTCATTCTCAGAAGATGCTTCCACTGAGGTTTTTAACTCTAGTGCTAGATACAGAAGTTCTGAAGTGTGTATCTTGCTATTATGAGCACTAGACGTCTCTGCCCTTCTGGTAAAGTTACAGTACAATCTGTGGGTTAATTGTCCAGACAATTCAGTGTTGTGTACACTGTTACAGATCATGAGAAAGCATTGATCTGGTGCTCTTTGGATTATAGACGTTCATTAATGTGCTTTTTTTTTCTCTTTAGTTTTCTCTGTCTTGTACCTGATGAAGCTAAGTCATCATACCACGTGGAGGGTACAGGCTATGATACTTACCTCAGAGATGCCCACAGACAAGTAAGTCAGTGATGTCTTCCTTAGTCCTTGAGAATTTGAGATGCCAATGAGAATATACAAGTGGCTCTATAAATAGTTCTACTAAATGCATCTTTTGGTAATGGAACATGGGAAAATTCAATTTTTATTTTCTAATGAAAACTTACCTTTGGAGATCTTTCGGTGGTGAATCCACCTTGTATTAATCTAGTGGGAATAATGGATGACATTAAATGCATTAATATTCATATAACAAATACACTGAGAGAAGATCTGAACTGCAGATAGATTCTTAATTTGCTTTTGCATTTATCTGCATTCTCTTGGAGAATTGCCTGCCAAGCTGTTTGAAAGGACTAAAGGGAAATTAAAATGCTGCATAGGAGTTATGCAATCTGGGGCTTTAAAAATAAAGGCTCATCACAGAGAATGCGCAGCCTAAGGCATTCATGTTTGAAGTTGGGAGTTTGGGTAGGTAGGGAATGCTTTATGATTTACTGGTTTGAAATTAATGCAGGCTTTGTTTTTGCAAACAATTGAAAGTTTCCTCGGTCATAGGACAATCATTGTTTTATTTGCAGCTTTCTTATTGAAGCCCTGTGCATCTTCTAGAACAGAAAAATTTATGCAAATGAGTAGAGTAACTGAGAGAGCTATATTTAGTAGGTACTTCAAAAATTCCATAACTTCTGAATTATGATATCAGCAATTTAAGATGGGGTGCCTGGATTTCTGTATTTATTATACTGTTTCATCTTTCCTGAAAAGAAAGGGACTGGAAAATAGAGAATAAGAAAACAAAGGTTGATGTAAAATTCCCTTATGTTCTGTTCTTGGATGTCAGAAAACACATATCATCTTTGTATTTCTTTCATGCCTTGGGAAAAAGAGTATTCTGGGAGTTATTAGAGAACAGAATTGGTTTCTGTCACTTCCTGACAATGATATGGCTACTCTTAAAATATTTCCCCCTAAAGAATAGCCCTGCCTATCGCTGTTATTACGTCCAAATAGCTGTTCTGCTTCCGTATTTCTGTTCCTGAAGGCCCACACAAGTAGGTAAGCTACACACAGTGAAGAATTTCTATTTTGTCTCTCTTTTGCTACCATTTATTCCTGTGTTCCTTATTTTCACTGCTGTAAGCTGTGCAACTTTCAAGGTATAATTCCCTGAAAGTGAGACATCAGGAAGCCCACAGCAAATCGGAGGCAGAGATTGAAAAAGACTGCTGAGGGTGATAGGAAGCAAAGAGAGGGAAGAGAAAGCCCTGAAGTACTTTTTTTTTCATTTGTATCTCCTAGGTATACACATGACTTTCCTGTACTGGGAATTAGGGAGCAATATAGATTGTATAGGAAGATAAGCTGCACATACTATAGTCAAGGTGCGGTAATGTCCTGACAAAAAGGATGTATATGGATGTAATTACTGCTGTAGAAGAGCCCTGATAAGGGTGTGTATAGTTGGCTTTGCTTTTGTCTTGATCTCAGCTGCCACTCATTTTGTTTCTGAAACTACTCAACGTGAATGCCAAGAGGAAAATTAGTTGCTTGCATAGAAACTTATCATGTTTATTTTCCAGTGACCATTCTTTTTGGGCTTAGATATTTCATGTAGCTACAGGCTATGATTTTAAGGTGCATGGACTATTAAAAGGAGATAAAATATTTCCATGGAGGTTTGAATCTGTTTTCCTTGGTACTTTTTTTCCTAGTTCCGGGATTATTGTGTCATCTGCTTACGGTGGGAGTGGCCTGGATCTCCCAGAGCTTTGGAAAAGTGCAATTTAGAAGCGTCGTTTTTTGAAGGACACTTCTTGAAAGTCCTGTTTGAAAGAATGGGCAGGATTCTTGATCAGGTAAGGAAAAGCAGGTTATGAATTCCACTTCTGATACTTTCATCACTACTAAAGGGCTGATCTCCAAAGTCCCGTGGATTCCCATCACTCAAATGTGTATTATAGCATCATGCTATTGTGTAATGTCCCATGTCCTCGGTGCAGGTCTCTGTAGATTGCAGGATGTTGTAGTGATCAGTATTCTAAAGAAAGTAGAGAACAAAATCACTCTTATCTTTGTTACCTACTTTTTGTGTACCAAGTGTTTTCTTCACCAGAAATATGATTAACATTAATGAGTAAGAAGGTAAGACAGTATCTTAGAGATCCTTCAGTGCTAGTGTCAGTGATTCTGTTTTCATTTTGTAGCATTTACACTTAGCATATACATTCTTGCAGTAAATAGAACACTGTACTGTTCCTTTCCACTACATTTCAGTGAACTTCAATCTAAAGTTGTGTTCTGGAAGCAGTTTATGTCACTGTATAAGAAGAAAAGAACTTACTGTATCACTGCTAACATTTCCCTCATTTTTTCATCGTTACAAAAAACTGTTATCAGTGCATTGAAAGTTTCTAGAAGGTATCCTTTTTATCTGCAGTGTTAAGTATTTTTTTTTTCTTGTTTGATTATCTCCAAATAATAAAAGTATAGATGCCAAGGGCAAACAAGTGAGATATTATTTGACTGGCTCCTTGTTGTGAAAGGAGGTGTGACATATCAGACCCAGATTTGTAAGGGGGAACATAAAGGAAGTGAATATTCCTAATGTCTGTTTCTGTATTTAGCCAGCCTGCATGACCTAGTCTTTCTGGAGAGAAGTGAAGTCTCAGGGACATGAAAAGGGGGTTGCCCTGTGTGAGAACTTAATGTTTCTTTGTCTTCTCTGAACTCTGGACTTAAGCTAGTCAGGTCAATGTTGCTGCTTTAGATCAAGAAGATAACATCTTGCCAGGGAAAACAAGCCCTGAAAGTCTAGGTTACCCTCCCTGCAGTACTAGCTGGAGTTGCTACAGATGCAGTAGTTCTAGTTTCAGAAGTTTGTACAATTCTTTCCTGTTTTGCATGTGGAGCTATCTACGTAATAAACAGTTAGCTATGGTTGTGGCAGATTCTTGGTCTCAGAAGACAAGAGCCATTTGAACATAAAACCACATGGGAAACGTGTCAGGAAGCAAGTAGAAGCATCTGGGTCAGCTCTGTGAGGGTTCAGGTGAGAGGGATGTTTGAGAGTACCAACTTTTATCATTCAGAAGTCAGAAAAGAAACCCAAATACTCACATTGCTATATTGTGTATTCCCGGAGTTTTCCTTCCAGTAAAGATGTTCTGCACACTTCCTTACCTAAGTGGTTATAGAGTCATGAAGAAAACTGGGCATCATCATCTCTTAGAAGAAACAAGCTTCATCCATATGAAAACCTTGTCTGAGCAATGACACATAAATTACAAAAAGTAAAGAACCTATTTTACCTCCTCTGAGGAACACCTGAGTGTCAGATATGTCTGCTTACCACAAAACTGGCATCTGGCATGGAAGCACAGTGTCTGTTTTGATGTACTGCCTGTCAGCATGACACACAGCTGGGTTAGTCAAGCAAGGTGTTACAGTCTGTGGTGTCAGAAAAGGTTCTTGGCTCCAGAAGAATTAACTGCCTGAATCAGACAGAAGAGGTAAATTATTATGTATCAAAACCCTGTCCTAAAAACCAAACTGAAATTCTTAAGGGTTATTCACATAGGAAAAAAATAAATCACCTAGAAAAAAAAAAAAGACAACAAAAAAACCCAACCAAACAACAAAATCTTGGTCCTATCAATGACAAACTTGACATTAATGGGTGACAATGTCCCAACAAACTGAAAACTGTGGAAAAGCCTTTAGTGGGGACACAGTACTGCGTGCAGATTGTGTTCAATGTCCTTTTTGCTTTGTCGTGATACTATAGGTATAGTTCTACCTGTAGTACACGTGTTTTTATCAGGAGATATCAGAAAACCTTGCAGAGGTGATAGGTATCAGTAACCTAGTTTCTGACAAGATTGTTGAGGCACACAAGTGAATTAACTTGTTTCCAGGGTGTTAAATCTAGTAGCTCATCTGCTAGATAGTATCTCCTTCCTCCTGTTAATATTATACATTTCTATGGAACAGACTGTTTCCTGAGAGTTTTCTGAACTTCAGATTTTGCTGGTTTTAACCTTTTCACATATAGAGACATTTTTTAGGATGTTTTCTAATATACGGACAGAAATAAAAGCTCTGTGTGAAGAATCCGCTTTCCTTAATGCTCTCAATTAGTTCAAATCACAACAATCAGTCTGAACAATACAGCACATGTAACTACTTTATTTCCTTCTCTTCTTGTGGATACCAGATAATGCTTATAGCTTCAAAGCTTCCTAATGAGGTGACAATCTCAGATAAATCTGAAGACCTTCTCCTGCTGTTCAGCTAGGGAGACAGTGGAATGGATTTGTGGAAGGAATTTATACCTCTGTCTGCAGAGTGACTTTTCCACAATAAGTCAAAATGCAGTGTTCTTTTACCTGTCATCTCTGGTCCAGGGTCTGAAGGGTTCATTTGTTAGAAGATTGGGATGAATCTATTGCTGGAATATCAAGTACAGAAATAGCTGCCACTGTCTGGGAGAAATATGTGCTTCCACTTCAAAAGTTCTGTAAGACCACTCCCTTTGCAGTGCAAAAGTGTGTGGCAGTGAATTCAGAAATACGGTACCTAAATATTAGTTAGGTGTCCACATGTAGTCAGTGGAAAGTTTGTCAAAACAGTTTACCTTGGTGGCCTCTGGAGCTGTTAGACTGAGAAGCAGGTAGATAGAACCTCTTGTAGTGTGAGGCTCATCACCCTCTTGGCTTCCTTGACTCTGTTGACTGAAAGCTTGACTCAGTTCCCTGAACTGAGATATCTGTACCGTTTTTGTGATGCCCAAAATATTCCCACAAGCTTGTGCTTACAACACAGATCTTGCAGGATCCACCCTCTGTGGAACTGTCAAGAGACCAGCAGATACTCCTGAGCATCTGAGGTGGTATGAGATGTTTGTGTGTAGGCTGTGTATCGTGTCAGACCTCTGCTGAGTAGGCTAATGCGAGCTTAGACATATAGACATACCTAAATATATCTGCCTTAATCTGACACAGAATTCTTCCAAACCTTACAGTCTGGAAAAGGGAAGAATCTGTTCCCTGATTCTTTGGTGTGATGCTAACTTGCGAGCATAAAGATGATGATCTGAGGCCGTGAAATCGTCCTCTTCTAGATGCGATTATGGCACTGAGGATGTTACTGCCAGTGTGCTGTCAAAGAGATTGAATGAGGGCCCTGTAATCCACTTCAGGTGACATCAGCAAGGTTCACTTAAACCGCCTGGGCGTTGGTAACATCTTCAGGCTGGCATAGAGGTCTACCAAGGGAATGTCTGTCCATCTGTTGTCAGCATAAGCCTGTTCCACCACTGAATAGATGGAAGGAAATTCCACTAGTTTGAAAATCCTGGGCTGAATTAAAATGTCAGCTTGTTTTCACTGTGAGGAGAAAATCAAAGATGGAAAAAAAAGTATGTGGAACATGAAGAAGCTATGGTGAAAGTACTTGGTTTTATGGAAATTAGTTTCTTACTGGAACAGTAAAATCTTTCAAACTAGGCACTATTTTTTATTAGAAAGTTAGGTACTATTTCTTTCCTTATGACTGATGAACACCTTCCAGCACCTGACAGTGTTGCCTTTCTCATTTGGTTGATTTGGAGAAAGGAGGTAGAGAAGAAGCTCAGAATTCTGTGCTGCTTTCCCAGCGTAGGACTGTCATATCTCCCTTAGCACACTGCCACAAGATGCCCAGGCCTTCGGTGATGGTTCTTTCCAAGAAAAAAGTTTCGAAGATAAATACCACACTAGCTGTAAACATGGACTTGTCTCCTAATTTCCTGAGCTCATATACTTTACAGTTACCCAGGAGAAGCAAGCAGATGCTTAATCTAGGCTGAGTCTATGCTATTTGTTTAGCTACTGAGCTGAGGAAATATTTTATGGGAAGAGGACTTAGCCTACAATAAGAAAGTATGCAAAATCTTCAGTGGTTGTAGCTGTTATACAGATAATCACATCTAATACCTGGCTGCCGTATTTGCATCACTCCTGTTGGGGAAAGTGGAGATTTTGGGCCTGTCTTCTAACCTAACTTTTTATTTATTCCTAACCCTGTATTTAAGATTCTGGTAATGAAATAAACACTGGCTGGCTGAAAAGAAGCCAGGAAGAAAATCACTAAGCACTGTGTTTTCCTTTTTTTGCAGCCCTATGATGTAAATTTACAAGTTACGTCAGTATTGTCCAAACTGTCCTTGTTTCCCCACCCTCACATACACGAATACCTTCTGGATCCTTACGTCAACCTGGCTGCTGGCTGCAGGTCCCTCTTCTCCGTCATTGTCAGGGTGAGTCAACACACCGGGTGTGTACGTAGGGCTCTACACACAGCAGGGATTTGTTTAGTAACTTTGTAGTTAGTGGTAGTAGCTGCTGGGTAGTTTAAGTGGGCAAATGGCTCCTCACTGAAAGTATGTGCTTATGCTCTACATTTCAGTCACAATTTTGGATTTTCTACCAAAAACATGGAAGAATTTATTTGTGTCCTCATGTTTGTTTGTTGGCTTAGTTTCACTGTATAGATGCAAAGTGTCCCCTCTGGAAGTGATGTTGCTTTAAAGTGGACTAGGTCACATTGTTGTCACTTGCAGGCAAGGTCAGGTAGTGCTGTAAGAACAGGCCGTGTATAGAGGTGGCTTTGATTCACATGCAAGCAAAGGACACTCCTTAACGCCCTGTGCCTGGAGGAGGATCTCTGCTCATCCCCTTTTTTGTCTGATGAGGGGTGTTCTTGACAGCAAAGTCCTGGGTTTATCGAAAGTCTCCTTCCTTTCCCTCTCAGATTCCATCTCTTCCTGCCAGATCTGCATCCTGGAAGTGCTGGCTGGGTGCCTGTTACACTGCAGTTGGATTCTCAGTCGGAGATCCCTCGCCTACCCCACGCACCAGCTGTTATTAAGCTGGGCAGGAGCCTATTAATGGTGCTTGCCCAGTAGTTATTGAGGGCTTAGCTCCCTTTTTCCCAGCAGCCCTCCTCATTTCAAAATATAATCTTCACCCTCTCCCCTTGTGCTTTCCCTAAACCCAGGAATTTACTGGTCAGTTGCCTGCGTCAATATTTACTAAGACAATTTAATCGTTGGTATTACTTATTTAATTATGCCATTTGTGTAACAGCTAGTAAGGCTCAAGAGTTCCTGTCCTTTTCCATCGCTTAACTTTCTGTGCCCATTCACCCTCTTTTAGGGCAGAACAGGTACTTTGCAGGTTGTTTTGTGAGCCTGTGAGGATGCTGAAGTGGGTTTGCATCCTGGGCTCTGAAGGCTGTCATTTCAGCTTGCTGCCAGGCAATCTGCAGAAGTGTTAATTTTGTGTGTTGATGACATTGTGCTTTACAGGTCGTTGGGGACCTGATGGTTAGAATCCAGCGCATCCCAGATTTCACTCCCAAACTTCTGCTGGTCAGGAAACGCCTGCTGGGCTTGGAGCCCGAAGGGCCCATGTGAGTAAACGCATTGCATGTTCTCCAAGACCCGTGGCTGGTTTTTGTGTGTGCCAGTCCTGTTTCTCTCATGATTTTTTTTTTTTCCCCTCAGCATTGACCACATGACATTACTAGAGGGTGTGATTGTGCTGGAAGAATTCTGCAAAGAGCTGGCAGCAATTGCATTCGTGAAGTATCACGCCTCATCTACACCATAAGCAGCCTTGATGAGTAGCCAGGCTGTAAAACCACCTAGCGTGTTTCAGTGGAGAAGGCTGTTGACAACACCCAGATAAGAAGAGGTGGTGCCTCCTGGCAAAACATCAGTTGCCATTTGGCAGAGTTGGAAAGCAAGTTGCTGTCACCAAATGTTGACGTTGCAAGAGAAGGGGATTCAAATGGACCTGTAATATAACTGAAGGCATTTTTGGACAAGCCAATACATAGCATTTCTAGCCACTGTGTGAAGAGCTGTAAAAGCTGCTTGAAGAACCACAGACATCAGACCTTGGTTATTCTGTTATGACGACAGTGTTTAGAAAGATGGATCTTCTGTGTGTTGTGGGGCTCACATGCGCCAATTCACTTTTTGTGACATTACTTTTAAAAAGCAAATTAATTTTATAATATTTTTATGTCTTAATTATTTTTCTTTTCAGTTGGATATATGAAAGGAAATCACAATTATAGTTGCAATGTATATTATTAAAAAAAAAAAAAGAGATTTAAAAAATCCACAAATCCATATGTAGTGGGATATATTACAGAGGGATCTTTTTTGTTTTGGTGAATCTTAAAGACAGCTCTGAGTTTGATTCCCCAGTGAATTAATCCAGGAGATATAACGGTATAAAATCAGTACTAATGGCATTAATCCTGATTCAGCATCACATCCATAACAAATATATCTGAAGTGTACATGTTTCTAGCATGTTTGTGTCCATCATTCCAAACGACTCAGGTCATGCGTGTAACTAGGTTTTTCCTTGTGAGCGCTAGACACAACTCTAGTTTGGCTCATGTCAGCTTTACAGGGAAGCTAATTATAGGTCAGTAGTAGTTGTTGCTGAAACAGTATTTTTAATTTCTTTAAAATTTATATTTAGCCTGAATAGGCTTAAGAATCTTTTGTGCCTTGAAAATCGGCAGCATAAATACCCTGTCATTTTTAGAAATGTTTTTATTGCTCATGTTATCATTATAATAGTACCCAGCAAACAACCGACTTCAGTTCATTTCCAAGTGTCGATACCGTGTCTAGGACCAAAACGTACCCCTGCTTTCCCTAGTGCTGGGGTGCAGAAGTGTCTCCCGGTGACTCTGCTGCCGTGTGGATGGATGCTGTGGCCAGGGCAGGCGCCTGCCCGGCTGGCCGGGGCCACTCAGG